TCAGGAAGGCATGTTACTGCAGTGAGCTAAAGAGCGTGTGCAGTCAGGAAGGGAAGCCCTCTCTATTGCTGCTTTTGGGAAAGACTTATAAGAATTATTTAAAGAAGTAGCAAATTAGGGGAGATGTTGAATTACTCATAAACATGGTTTTCAAAATTTTTCTAGTGATCAAGGATTTACCGTTGCTGTTTACCTTACCATTTAAACATAATTTGGCCCGAGGGATACAGATGGGTAACTATCGAGATAGTTGAGACTAAATGCCTGCTTTCGTGTGAATTGGCCGTTTATTATTATCCTGGTTCAAGATTAAGAATTATTTTCCGTGAATCATTCTGAGAGCTATGCCTCGCCAAATTTTATAAGTTGGCTCCTTTGAACAAGTTTCAAAGACTGCGTGAAATGTTTCCCTTGTAAGTTATAGGGTAGGTGGTCTGAGTTTAATGTGGCCTTTAAAAATATGTGTGTACTAGTGGTGTTTATTGCCTTGATACTGTGGGAAAACAAGTGATATTGGTTTTCTTCATCTTTATTTTGTACATTATGGATATGTAAATTACCTTTGAATTTAAAAAAAGAAAGCCATCAAGGAGAATGGTTTTAAAAATATATTGATAGCCATCAAAATAAAATTCTAGGTAATCGTTATGTTTACTTTAGAAAGGAGCCCTGCGTAAGTGCTGGATTACTAACCACATGGTCAGTGGTTCAAATCCCACAGCAGCTCAGCAGCTGCAAGTTGAAGCGATCTGATTCTGTAAAAACGTATAGCCTCAGAATCAATTTAATGGTAGGGGATTATTGGGTGTTTGGGGTTGGGGATTGTATTTAGAAGCAAAACTCTCTACTGCAACCAACCCAATCCATGTGGAGGTGATATTTTTCTCTTGATTAATTAGCGCTATATTCTTATTAATATAAAGTATTAGCCCATAAGCTAGCAGCATGTATTGAGAGTCTAATATATTAAATCAAATGGAATCATACATGAGTCAAGGCATTTCATCCTTAAAAGTCCTAGTATTCAAACCTTAAGCAGAGGTTTCTAATTGTCGTCTACCAGTGCTTAGACATTCTGAGCCGCTCTGCACTACTGCTCCTGACTCTATTAGCTTCCCAAGAGTGTCCTGTGAGCCTCAGGCATCCCACGCCTAGAGGAGGCTTCTCTGTAACCACTCTTGTGCTTCCTGTTTGTAGGGCTCTAAATTACCAGAGGGTGCAGAAGCTGGAAGCAGAAGTGGACCAGTGGCAGGCCAGGATGCTGGTGGTGGATGCCCAGCACAACAATGAGGTAGTGTAGCGGCCAGTTTTCTAAACATGACTGGGGCTTTGTTGGGATATTGGTTTTCAGTGTTGTTTTAGAAAGTGTGACACTGTTGGGGAAATCTCCCCTTCGTTCAAATGGGAGTTTCGGTGCTGCACTTATGGATGTGGAATGGGCAAGCCAGGAACACAATTACGCCTTCATCTCTTTGTCTGGTATGTTCTACATTCTTTTTGTAGATTGGTGCATAAATGATTACAGAAGGTAACGATCTTGTAAATAACTTTTAACCTCAGAAGTAGTAGTAGAAAAAAAATAGTAATAGAGTGATCATACAATTACTAAGGAAACACACACATGTCACATGCATATGGGTTTATGCACATGCATAAATACATATATGTATATATGTATAGATTTTTTTTACTGTAAATAAGCTACTTATGGAAGATAATACAAGAAACAATTTCTTTTCTCCTGGGGATGGGATCAGAAGGGCCAAGGATCAGAGAGGTTAGTTTTAACGCGTTTGAAATTTTTAGAATGAGGATAAATTAACTCTAAGTTTCTAAAGCTCTCTAATAACCCACCAAGTATATTCCACCCTTCAAAGAGTCTCCTAACCAATGTTTACAATAAATTCTCACATACCAGGGGGCTTCAAAAAAGTTCATGGAAAATGGAATTAAAAAATTCGGGCATTTTCCCACAAACTTTTTGAAGCCCCTTCATTTAATTCAAGAATCTGTAATTCTCACTTCTGGTTCCAATCACACATTATCTCAACATCACCGGATGGTACCGTGAAAGGAAGGAGCAACACAAAAACCCAGCTCCCTGCTATGGGGCAGCGTCGCTCCTCACGACGCTACAGCACGGGGCTGAACTGCCCTGTGCATTTCCCAGACAGGGACTCTGCATCGGATGAAAGCCCATCTTTCTCCCATAAGCATACAAGGGTAAGTCAAAGTGTGTCACTGTGAAATCATACAGACCTTCATTAAACAAAAATATCACAAGGTAAAAAGCTACTGTTTCTGGACATGTCCTCCATGGAGGTCTAGACACTTCTGAAGGCAATGTTGCCATCTCTCTGACCCTCCGCAAATGAATCTCCATGACTTAGATTGGGCATCCTTAAGGGACACGAATTAGATTCCTTCTAAATGTTCTTTGAGTTTGGGGAGCAAAAGAAGCATTAAGGATCAAGATCAGGGTAGTAGGGGGGTGGGGTACAATTCTCAACAAATTCTCATAGGCCAGCCCTTGCCAACCTTGAAGAATGAGCACACACACATTGTTAGGATGGAAACTTTTTTCTCGGTGCAACTTTCCTGACCTTTTATTCCCTCACCAGTGCCACTTTAAATTGTGAATGACGATGGCAACAATGTACAAATGTGCTTGACACATGGATAGGATGGATGGATGGATGGATGGATGGATGGATGGATGGATGGATGGATGGATGGATGGATGGATCATGATAAGAGTTGTACGATCCCCCAATAAAATGATTTAAAAAAACAAAAACTTCCTTACAATCGCCTCCCTTGATTGTCCTATATCTTTCAAGAAAATCTATCCAGATTGCCCTTGTGAATTCCCCCAAAGCAGTCCCCGTAACCTTCTGAGCTGACTTCTCGACCATGACTTTTACTGGCCTACCAGATCCCCTCAAAAGCCACCCCACCAAGGCCTAAGACAAGTGTGTTTCTGAGTGAGAGAGCTCGTCTGCAGCCACCTGCTGATCACAGGGGCGTGCTGAGACGTGTTTTGCTTGAAGTAAGCCCGTGCACGTAAGACCCATAGGGCCTTCCTTGTGCTCCCCCTTGTATGGTGTTAGGGACTCTGGCTTCTGTTACAGGCGAATTAGACACCCTTTCCTCTCTTTCAGATGGAACCGCTACAGAAAGCCATAGATATAGCTAGAGAAGACAACAGGAAGCTGGCGATGAGCCTGGAGCAGGCGCTGCAGACGAACAGCCATCTGCAATCAAAGCTGGATGATGTCCAGGAGAAACTGGAAAGCAAGGAGCTTGAACAACAGAAGTTGGAAAGCTTTAAGTAAGGGCAGTGCAGTCCCAGTGTCATTGGGAAGAGCCGCTGGGAGAGCAAGCTGGCTCACTCACCTAAACCAGTGAAACCCTTCCTGTCCACTCTGACAGTTCTGCCAGCAGAGCCAGGTTTGGCCGAGCAGCAGCAGATGCCGGCTGGCTGGGCTATACTCACCTGACTCTCCACCCCAGCTCTTCCCTCACACAGTACCAAGCTCCCTATAAGAAGGTTGAACCAACATTTAAAGTTCATGGTTAGAAGAGGCACATACATGTATCTGCCAAGCTTTTTCTGTCAATAGTTGATGCATCCTTCGGAAACACGATTTGGGTAAGGAGCAGCAGCAGCTAGAGGAAAATTCTCACTGCCCGGAGTGGATGGCTCCATCCAAACAGGGGTTAAACCACTGATTTTTTTTTCCCCCACCAGCAATTACTTAAGTCAGATTCACTAGGCTCAGTTCAAGCAGCTAAAGTTTTGCTTTTAACTGTGTTTAGGCAAAAAACAAAAACAAAACAAAACGATGTATTGAGATGTGGAGTACATAATGTGAGTGTGTGGAAATGTATGCCAAAGAAAATACAGTGGGCACATGCCCTCATTTTCTTCCATCAGTGAACGTGCTCACACGGAAGGAAGGTGCACGATAAGCAGAGAAAGTGTTTTGTACAGTATGTGCTGTGTGCACAGTTCATAGTCGTAAAATGCTATGCTCAATATTAGTTAACAAGAATTCGTTATTACAAGCCAGTATTAGTTATGGAGTGGTTGCCTGTCACTAGTCGTTTAAAAATCTTTGAATCCCAGCTTAGGTTGCTACAGTTTCGATGATTATTGGTTTGTTTCAAACTTGAATCTTTAGGAGGCTTCAAGTGGGGCGGGGGGG